AGAGGCAGCTGCCTGGTGGCAGCTCCCGCTCTGCAGCCGGCCGCTGGTGGTAGCGGGAGCCTGCCGGCCGCGCACCTCCACTGCTTGCCGCCGCTTGCTGCCCGCAGGGTCGGAGGAGGGCAGCGAGGATGAGGAGCAGCAGGAGAGCGATGAGGAGGAGGCGCCCGATGCCGTGCCTCTCAAGATGAAGCAAGGCGGCAGCCGCAGGTTGAGGCGGATGCTTGATGACGAGGCGGAGGAGGGCAGCGAGGAGGAGGAGGAGGGTGAGCAGGGCATCTCACCAGCATGCAATGCATGCATTCGCTGGCATTTTGACGGCTGTGCTGCCGGCCGCATCTCGCACAAGAAGCCTGCCCTGAGTCTGCATGCTGCTGTGCTGTGCTGTGCTGGCCCGCAGGCGAGGAGAGCGAGGAGGAGCAGGTGGCAAAGGGCGGGGGCGTGCGTCCCATCCCCACCAACGGCCGCCTGGTGCAGTACCAGGGTGAGGCGCGCCGCCCTGGTTGCCGCCGCCCAGCAGGCAGTGGTGCCTTTGGTTTTGGTTTGCGGGGGTTATGTCATAGATTGCTTGCTCACCCTAACGCCCTGCCCTGCCCTGGCTTGCCCGGTGCAGGTTTCCAGGACAGCTCCGAGGAGGGTGAGCGGGGGCAGCTGCTGGCGCTGCTGCCCAGCCCCGTGGTGCTCGGCGGCATGCTGCGACCCTGCTACAACCAAGACCTTGCACCATTCGTAATGTAGCCGCCTGCATGCTTGTGTGTGTGCTGCAGAATCACTGTCTAGCGGTGAGGAGGAGGAGGAGGAGGAGAGCGAGGAGGAGAAGCCTGCGCCTAAGAAGCAGCACCAGCAGGCGCAGCCGCAGAAGCAGCAGCAGCAGGCAAAGGGCGCCAAGCGGCCGGCAGCGGAGCAGCCGGCAGCGGCCACCGCCAAGACGCCGCAGCCGGCCAAGAGGGCCAAAGCTGAGCAGAAGCAGGCGCCTGCCACCGCGCCCGCCAAGGTGGCTGCCCTCAAGGCGGTGGAGGCCAAGGCTGCTGCTGCCGCTGCGGCGGCGGCAAAGACGCCTGCGGCTGGGGCCAAGGGCCAGGCCACCCCCGCCAGCGAGAAGGACTTTCTGGAGGCGCTGCAGGCGGCGCTGCGCTCAGCGGGAGGCCCCCTCAAGATGGCGGCGGTGCGTGGCGCTGCCTGCGAGGGACGCGCCTGTGGGCACACCTGCAGGCACCTGCTGCCCTCTTTCTTGTCGGGCGCATGGCCCCGGCAGCTCCGCTGGGTGCGCCTCTGCTGCTCACTGCCTTGCTTTGCTTTGCTGGCTGCCTGCCTGGCCGCAGCTGGGCGCCAAGGTGAAGCGGCCGCCGCAGCTGCCCAAGATGAAGCACTTCATCGAGAAGCACTCTGCCGTGTTCAAGTACGACAAGGAGGCGGATGCGGTGGCGCTGGCGTGATGCCGGGGCGCTGGCCTGGGCGCAGGCGCTGCCGCATGGGGGCGGCTCAACTGCGCCACGGATTGGTGACTGGACGCTTGCCTTGAGTGATTCGATCTTGGACTCGCGCCCTTGCGTGCCTGCTGCAATGTCTAGCTGGTTTGAAGGAAGTGAGAGGGGGTGACACCATCTTGGGCAGCCTTGGATGCTGCACCAGGGGCCATGGATGGCCAGGCATCTGTCAACTGGTATAGGCAACCAGCAGGCAGGGGTAGCTGCCTGGTGAAACTTTGATTGCTGTACATGTGGCAGTACATCCTGGCTGGCTGGCATTGCCAGCTGGCCACGATGTGTCTCTCCCAGAGTAGTCCCTACCCGAGCACCCATGCCTCCCCAGGCTGCTTCTGGCACCATGGCCTCATGGGCGGGCCTTCCCCACGAGCTAGTGCAGCTGGTCGCCAGCAAGTTGCAGAATGACGACCGGTGAGGGGCCTGGCAGGGCAGCGGGGGCTCAGGCAGGGGGCCGAGGCGCTGGTGGGGTGGGTCGGCGGGCGGCGGGAGGCGACGCCCGCTCCTCGACAGTCCAAGGAGAGCCGCGGCTGCCATCACGCCTTGGCGTCAGGGCACAGCTGCTTCCTTTGGATTCTGCAGGCTGGCGTATATGTTCACGTGCGCGTCGTACTATGCCGCCGTGCTGGCGGTGCCGCAGCTGGTGCCGGCGGCGGTGCTGGCGCCTGATGTGTCGGAGGTGCTGGAGATGGTAGCGGGGGACTTATCATACAAGTACATGGCTGAGAGTATCATCAACGCGCATCACAATGATGTCATGAATGCCGAGCTGCTGCTGAAGAGGGCAGCGCAGATCCACCCGCTGACGGTGCGGGTGCGGCTGCAAGGCTTCAGTGACCAGGTAAGCGCATCCTGAGGGAGTGCGCTGTGCTGTGTTGTGTTGCTTGGGCTGAATCATGTGCGCCCCGCTTCATGCACGCAGCCCCACCTCACCTTTGCCGTGCTGTCGGTGCTCCCATCACCGATTCGCGTTTTGGAAATAAGCAGCCGCTGCACGGGGCCGCTGCCGGCGGCACTGGGCCGATTCTCGCGGCTGCAGCAGCTCAGCATGACTGCTGGGCCTGCCATGATTTGGGAGGCGCCAGGGGCGGCCCGTGTGCTGGGCACGCTTGGTCATCTGCATTTGGATTACCGGGAGCGGCCAGTATGGGATGAGCTTAACGAAGGGTTTCAATGGGCTAAAGTCCGCCAGCTGCAACACATCGTGGCCAGCACGCTGGCGGCCGCCACCAGGCTACACAGCCTGCAGCTGCGCGTGTCATGGTCAGATGAGGTGGCGGCGCTGTGCAGCGCGCTGCCAGCTATCAAGAATCTGAGGTGGGCTAACCACCCAGCATCGTGGCACAGGACATTCTGCTGATGTGTCGTGCCCACCTGCCTGTGCAGGCTGCGACTATACTATCGTGCTGAGGGCTTTCATGCCACGGCAGCGGTGGGCATGCTGCAGCAGCTGCCTCAGATGAACATCTCCCTATTACGGCACAGAAGAGGATCAGAATTACCCTATTATCACGGAGGAGTGGGAGCAGCTGGAGCGCCTGCCGGCTATGGCAGGGCTGCCAGGGCTCACTGAGCTTTCCATGGATGGGGCGGCCGTGCTGCCCCCGGACTGGCAGCAGCTCTGCAGCCTGCGGCGGCTCAGCGTGACTCATAACGTGTGGAACTTCAGGTGGGGGGGACGGGCAGCCACCCATCGGTAGCTCGCCCTGGGGCGCGGGGCCCCTCACTACGCTCGTGGCGCTCACCCACCTCAACCTCGCCTTCACAGCAAAAGGAGAGTTAAGTAACAAGTTCTGCGTGCGGCCAGGTGAGCCCCTTGTGTGTGTGCGCTGGACCCTGTGCTCTTGCCTGGCTCATGTGCAGATGCGGTGCTGCAGGGCCCGAGCTGGTGGCCACCGTGCCAAGCCTGGCGGAGGTGGATGCGACGGGCTGCCCCCAGGAGTGGGTGGAGCAGCTGCGCCAGCTGCGCCCGGATGTGGCGATCAGGCAGTAGTCATGTTCGTGTGTAAGCTTCCATTGCCTGCCTGCTATGTCAGGGCGCCCCTGTCCTGCATGACACCCCCTCTGCCTGCCTGTCAATACCTGCCTCCTGCCTGCCTGCCTGCCCACCTGCCTGCCCGCCTGCCAGCCCGCCCATTTGATAGCTTTTTCTGTTGCCTCTCTGTGTGTGATGCCCCCGCCAGAAAATCAAACAACAGGCAGGCGGCAAGGAGGCAGTGCTGCAACAGATAGCCATCCCTCCGAGTCGCACATTGTTCACGGCGCCTGCGCCCCGTCCTATGTGGCAGTGACCCAAAATTCCAGCCAACCTTGAGACTCGTTCGTCTTGTTTCACGCAGCCAACCACTCCAAGGCTCGTTCGTCTAGTTTCACGCAGCCAACCAGTCCAAGGCGTCCAAGGTGCACCATGGCCACGTTCACAGCAACCCCGCTGCTGGAGGACTTTTTCTCACCCTTCTGGGCCCCCTCTGGCCTGCCCTACCCCGGCCAGGGTGGGCAGGGTTTGCTGGGCGGAAGCGCTGCCCCTACCGCTGGAACTTCTGGGGCCGCTGCCGGCGCCGCTGACACTGGCGTGGGTGGCGCGGCGCCTACCTACACCAGGCAAGCCGCAGGCAGCAGCTGCTGTATTGCTTGATGTGAGCTGTGCAGCACCGCATCGCGTGTCAGCCCCGGCCTCATGGCAGGCGCTGCCTCGAGGTGCCATGCACCTACTCAACGCCCCCCCTGCTGCGCAGGACTATCCCGGTTGACTTCATCGAGCGTGACAACGCGTACGTGCTCCGCGCAGACATACCCGGCGTCCACAAGGCAAGCAGCGTGCTCTGGGTTGGGTGCAGGGAGGGTCGCGGCCACCATACCACACCACACCGTGACACAACCACAGCTGTACTGCCCGCAGAGCGAGATCCGCGTGACAGTGGACGGCCAGATCGTGCGGTTTGGCCACCAGCCCCACCCCGACCGAGAGCAGAAGGACGAGAAGGAGATGGTGGGTGGGGGCGGGGGACGGGATTGGGCAGACACATGGCCACTTGTGGGTGCCCCCTCAGCTCCCTCCTGTCCATGCGCCCTGGCGCTGCTGTGCTGCAACAGGTACTTATGTGCCCACCCTCCTTGCGCTGCAGGGCATCTTCCACCGCGCCGAACGCGTCAGCTCTTTCCGCGGCCGCGCGCTGAGGCTGCCGGAGAATGCCGACTGCGAGAACATAAACGCCAAGGCACGCAGGGTGGTGGCTGCACCGCTGGGCAACTTTTCCTGTTTATCGTGCCTGCCAGCTGTCTATAGGGGTTGCGCAACCACCACCACTCTTACACCACACAGACACACCAGCCACCTGCCTGCAGTACGAGGATGGCGTGCTGGAGATAACCATTGCCAAGAAGCCGGCGCAGCAGGCCAGGGCAGAGGGGCGCAGCATCGAGGTCGCCTGAGCGTGGACACATGCGCGATTGGGAATGCGTGCCCCACCCCACTACCCACCTGGTCTTCACGTGCTGCACAGTGAACCATGACAGCGCCGTGAGCCCCGCATACATCGAGTGGTGTTGAACTCCTTTTCTAGCTATCTGAACAGCCGTTCATCAGCGCCTTTAACAGAGGCCACCGCTGCGTCAATCGCCCTGTAAAGTCGATGTGTGTGGTGCTGACAGAAAGATGATGTACAAGAGTGAACTGGTGTTGATTAGCGAGTACAGAGCAGCAGGGGACAAGCAACAACAGGGGCAGGGGCAATGGGCATGGGCACGACTGGCATCCAGCCCCGTGCCCTTGGGTCATCCCTTGACCACCGCTATGGGCCGCAGCTTGACCGTCTTCTTGCTGATGCCCGCCGAGTGGCACGTGTCCACCACCTCGCTCACATCCTTGTAGCTCTCGGGCGCCTCCTCCATCACCAGCTTGGGGCTGGCCACGCTGCAGGCAGGAGGGCGATGCAACAGGGTGGGATGGGGGGTGAGGGGTGTAGAGCAGAAGAGGGCATGGCAGGCAGCAAGGGCCAGGGCCCTGCTCCCGCTCATCCCTCACCCACCGTATGGCGATTCCCTTCGTCTTGAGCGCATCCAGCACCTGCTGGTAGTCCAGCTTGTTGCGGCTGTTGTTGCGGCTGCGTGCCCGCCCCGCGCCGTGGCACGTCGACCCAAACGTCTCCCCCATGCCCTTCTCCGTGCCTGCGCGGCAGGGAGCGGCAGTCGAGCGGGCGTGCATGCTGTCACGCCGCACACTTCCCTATGCCAGGCAGATGCCGCGGCAGCTGGCAGGGGGGACGGGGAGCACCCCACAGCCAAACTCGCCTGCCCCACGCTGCCCCACCCTGCCCCACCCCACCTGTCAGCACGTAGCTGCACGTGCCCATGGTGCCCCCGATGAGCACCGGCTGCCCGGTGAGCTGGTAGTCCACGGGGATGAGCGGGTGGTGGGGCGGGAAGGCGCGGGTGGAGCCCTTGCGGTGCACCAGCAGCGTCTTCAGCTGCCCGTCAACCAGGTGCTCCTCAACCTGCGGCGCACGCAGCGGCGGGTGGGCGAGGCAGGCAGGGAAGGCGTGGCGCGGCACGTCGGGCACGGCATGCCCCGCCCCTGGTGCCGCCGTCCCCGTGCGAGCTGGCCAGCTGGCAGGCCAACGTCCCTGCGAGACACACACACACACACACACGCGCGCGGCACCCCACAACCCCCCACAGCCCACCCACCTTGGCAATGTTGTGCGACACGTCGTACACCACGTGCATGTCGAGGTCGTCGGGGGTGGAGCCAAACATCTTGGCAAAGGCCTGGCGGCACAGGAAGGTCATGGAGGAGCGGTTGACCCAGGCGTAGTTGGCGGCGCAGGCCATGGCGGTCAGGTAGTCCTGGCCCTCCTGCGGACAGGAGGTGGGGGAGGAGGGAGGGGTGGGGGTGCAGGGGGGGCAGGGAGGCAGCGGTGGAGGCGGGGAGCTCGCAGTGGGGGCAGGTCGGCAGGGGCGCGCGGTGCTGGCCCGCTGACACTTGCTGCCTCCCACAGCTGCGCAACACACACACACCACAGCAACCCACACCCATCCTGCACACGCCCCGCCCCACCTGCGACCCGATGCGCGCGCACGCCAGCTGGCGGTCGTTTGTGAGGATGCCGTCCCGCGCCATGGCCCGCTCCATGCCCACCAGCGCGTCTGTGGCCACCTGGTGGCCCAGCCCGCGGCTGCCGCTGTGGATCATCACGCACACCTGCCCGACCTGGTCGATGCCCATCTTGCGGGCCGCCACGCGGTCAAACACCTCGTCCACCACCTGCGGGGTGGGGAGGGGGAGGGGGAGGGGGAGAGGGAGAGAGGGCGTGTGGTGGCGGTGGTGGAGGGAGGTGGAGGGAGGCACTGAGGTTTATGAAGGGCAGCAAGCAAGAGCGGAGCAGAGCAGGGCCGCATACCCACACGAACATGAAGCAGCAGGGCCGCCCACACAGCCCCCACGCCACGCTCGCACCCCCTATCACCC